GATAAGACAAAGATACAGCAGGGTCAGAGAGGGTCAGTGTTGGAGACACTACGGACAGAAGGGTTGCTTGTTTTATATTTGGATTTGATATTTGTACAGGTGGGCTTCACTTCAGAAGACAGATTTTCTTTACCCACTTTAGAGAGTTGGAGCCACATAAAGGGGATAGGGGGGTTGGGTGGGGGTGTTAGGATCAGGATCTTCTGCTATTCTTTACCGGTATCCAGGACCTGGTTGAGTATAGCCCTGCCCATAAGGGGGACGGTTGCGAGCATAGGGATTAGCAGCTCCAGGAGGAGGAGTGCCAGGGTTACCTGGAGGTGGTGTGAACCCTGGGCGGGGTTGATACCCCGAGCCAGGCTGGGAGCTCGGTGGCATGCTGTAGTTGGCAGGCTGGGAGGCTTGGGAGGTATAGTTTTGGGGAGGGAAGGCTCCTGGTGGATACTGTTGAGCTCCCTGAGATGGATGGGGCTGCTGCTGCCCTCCCTGAAAGCCAGGAGTTGGGGCAGGACCAGTGCCTGGAGCCTGGGAGGTGGGTGGAGGGTAGTTCTGAAACTGCTGCTGCTGCTGTGGCTGTGGAGGGCCGGGTGGAGGGGCTCCTGGCTGAGAACTGTATCCTGCTGAGAACAGAAAGTGGTCCAGTTAACTTCCAAGACAGGAAATAATGCAACAGCTACCCACTTTTTAAACCCTAATTAAACGTCTCACCAGGGTACTGCTGCACGCTGTACTGTTGCTGTGGTGGAGCACCTGGCTGCTGAGGAGGGTATCCACCTGGAGCCTGGTACTGAGGATACACCTGACCTGAAAGGCAGGGACAAACCCCATCACTAACCAAGTATTTTAAAACAAGTTTAACCACTTACTCCCCACACTGGTTTAAAAAGCGTACCCACAAATCCAGATAAATTACAGATGCAACACATCTAAAAATCACACTTCTGATATCTAAATGTCCAAATTCCATTCAGTCCCACTCCAAGTTCAGAAATCCCACATGGAACTTTTACACTTAAGTTGTTTAGATGTTACAATTAAAACTCAACAAGAATACAGCTGATTAACAACTGTCCATAAAAGAAATTCAACCACACCATAAATCACATTTATGGACTATGGTGAGACAACTGCCCTCAATTGCTCCAGATCCCTCTGCTCCCTCCCTCCTACACATCACTCTGGGTTTTACAGACACAGTTGGGACTATTTTCTAAGAACCAACAGCACCTCACATAATGACATGCAGATGATGCATCTGGATCTTGTTCATCTGGACAGAAAAATCAGGTAAATGTTTTGATGGAAACAGCTGCAAGTAGAACACTTAGGTTGCTAGTAATCCACCAGATTATAGAAACATTTGGCTTTGAGATATAAAACACAATGCAGGTGCCCGAGCAGATACAAATACACAATATGTACAAAGAACCATTGTTTTACCAGTGCTATAAGTTAAAGGTATTTGCACCTCAAAAATGTATTTGTAGTCAGAATTTTTATTTTATTTTTATATATTCATCATCATTGTGCCAACCTATGGTTTGCACAGAATTATAATCATGTCTGAAAGTGCTTTCATCTACATGAACAAACTAGTTTAGAGAAATCTCTAAAAGCGTCTCAATTTCTAAAAGTTTCATTTTTTGTGCAGAAAGGCATGTCATCTTGCTTAACAGCAACATGACTGCATTTTTATTTTAACACAAAAGGTTTTATTTCTATCCTTATTAGGCCCGTGTATTGACGTCCATTCATGTTTTAACCTAACCATCACCCTTGCACACACACACACACATATACCAGCCGCACAAACACTTTCTTCTGCTTTAACTTGGAAATGAGAATTTTTAAAGAATTTCCAAGTGTGCAACAAACATGGAAAAACCTGCCCGACTGGTGTTCACTCCTGAAGCCATAATCTCCCACAACGATGGAAAACACATCGATGAAAAAGCTGTGCGTTCATGTACAGCTCGTGTGTTTCACCATTTAGTACATAAAACCCTCAAAACAACAAATATTTAAACATATATTGTCACAAAACAAATTAATTTGTATCCTCAAGGAAATAATAGCAATTAGATATAAAAATGTTCTACAAAAAATTTCTTACAAAGTACAACCTAAATTTACATGATAACCAAGTACTTTTGTTGTACTCTGCGGTTAACCCTTTGCTGTCCAGACAATCAACTTTTGTCTTTCAACTTACAATTCAAAGTATGTCACATTGTAAAAATCATCATAATTACAAAATATAAAAGTGTTAAGTTATTTTTAATTATTTTAGAACATCTATGTTCAGTTGTTTCAGTGTAATTAATCAAGAAGAACATTCCTGCTCCGTGCTGCAGAGCTGAAGCTGCGTGACATCCTGCTGATGTCCTGCTGCACTTCTCTTTAAGATTTAAATGTAAATACTGTAACATTTTAAATAAACAGTCCATGATGCATTGTTTATTTAAAATGTTACAGTATTTAAATTTAAATTGTTTATTTAAGGAGGGAGATTGGGAGTAATGTGATGAGTGTGATTACAGCCTGGCACATGTCATGACAAAGTTTACTGAACTTGAACTGAACTTGAACTACTGTATCCACACTTCGCAGTTTTTCACTTACAGCGGGGGGTGGGGTGGCAGGGTATGGAACCCCGTGATAAACAAGGGACTACTGTACACAGCTCACATTCAGGTATGGCAAATTTTAAGCTATAAATAACCTTACAGAATGAATGCAGGTTAGTTAAATAATATTTACTGTACCTCTGTGGTCGCATCTGTTTTAGACTTTTCTCAGACAATAAGAAATGTGGCAAACATACAAAATCACATCTTTGAGCTAAAACTTTTAGTGGAATTGTTCCTAAAAAGTTGGTTGGACCAACATGCTGACAGATCTTTTTTGTTCATCCTTAGTCCAAACACGTCATTGTATACAAGTGCACACAAGGAAGAACCACAACAAGGTGTGAGATTAATTACCTCCTTGGATACTCTGTTTATAAAGTATTTAAGGTAACATGTTTATACATGTTTATACTGTATTTAAGGTA